CCGACTCCAGCAGCTGAAGTCCGAGTGGCACAGGTAATGGGCTGCCGTCTGGCCTAGGCCTGCCCCTCCCCCTGCCCGCTGCCTCCCACCCAGGCAGGTCTGGGGAGCAGCGCCCCAGAGCCAGTTCTGACTGTTTTAAGCAGAGAGAGGGATGGCTGAAAGCCAGGTCAGGACCTTGTGCTGAGGCCTGTGCTTGAGGGCAGTGGAGGCTGGGGTGGGCACGGCAAGAGACTGGGATTCGTGGGTTCACGTAGACACACCATCTTCTCTGCACACCCTCACACGCTGCCTCCCCTGCCCTGGACATCTGCTCTTGGCGGGGAGAGCGGCAGAGGCCGAGTGAAGGATGGATCTGGGCTCAGGAATGAGCTCCCTGGGTCAGGCCAACCTGGCGCTGTGCTCACAGCCAGGATCTCCCCGAGCAGCCTTGCGTCGCCTGTGTGCATGGGCGCGCCTCCCATCAGGAGCCAGTGAGGGGTCCTCTTGTTCTCCCCGCATCCAAGGCTCACTCCCCTCTCTCTGGGACTAGGATGACCCAGGAGTCCTTCCGGGAGAACTCCATGAAGGAGCTGGGGCGGCTGGAGGGCCAGCTGGCAGGCCTGCGCCAGGAGCTGGCAGCCCTGGCCCTGAAGCAGAGCTCGGTGGCGGACCAAGTGGGCCTCCTGCCGCAGCAGCTCCAGGCCGTGCGGGATGACGTGAGTCCGAGCCGTCCAGGTCCCCTGCTGAGCACCCGCCCTCTGAGACCATCTGTCCTTGGCGTCTGTAGGGGACAGTTTCCTGCCCCTGCAGCCTTAGTCCCACGGGGCCTGGCCCTGGACTTGACACAGATGTTGTCTTCCTGTATTGGGAGACAGGGAGGGGTCATTCATAACTCTCTCATCTGTGTGGCCCGAGCAGGCACATGCTGGCCCTCCCCTCCCAGGCCTGCACCCCTTCCCTGCCTCTCTCCCCAGCCAGGCTCTGCCCTGCCGGCCTCCACAGTGAGACCTCTTTCCGGTCCCCAGGTGGAGTCCCAGTTCCCTGCCTGGGTCAGTCAGTTCCTTGTCCAAGGTGGGGGGGCCCGTTCGGGGCTCCTTCAGCGCGAGGAGATGCAGGCTCGGCTGCAGGAGCTGGAGGGCAAGATCCTCAGCCACGTGGCCGAGATGCAGGGCAAGTCGACGAGGGAGGCGGTGGCCAGCGTGGGGCTGAGGCTGCAGAAGGAAGGCGTGATCGGGGTGACAGAGGAGGTGAGAAATTATGCCCTGGGACCCAGCGTGGTGCAAGCACAGAAGGGCCCGGCAGGGGAGGTCCGAGGGTGGCCGTCTGCCTCCCGTCACCCCTGCTCTGGTGCCTGTTCTAGGAGGTGCACCGCATCGTAAACCAGGCCCTGAAGCGCTACAGTGAGGACCGCATCGGGATGGTGGACTACGCGCTGGAGTCCGGAGGTGCGTGCGCCGCTCTCCTTCCGCAGCCGAGCCCTGGTCCCCGCACTGGCCGCTGGCATCTGCCGGAGCAGCCGTGTGCGAGGCAAGCAGGGCTCATCAGACGTCACCCAACCCCGAACTCACCACAAAGGCCTGCGACGTGCCGGCGCCATCCTTGGCTGGGATGAGGCTGTTTATAGCTGCCCTGTGGTCTGGGCTGGGTGTGCAGGCTGGGCCTGGGCATCTGCCCTCCGTCCTCAGAGAGGACACGGGCAATAGTGGTCCCCCCTCGGGCGGCCTTAGCCCTTTAAGCGGGTCCTTCTGGCTGCTGAGCTGGTTGTCTGGTCTCCCTCCCCTGCTCCCCAGGCCCCAGGCCCCCACACTCCTTTCTTTCCTGGGTCAGGGGCCAGTGTGATCAGCACCCGATGTTCCGAGACCTATGAGACCAAGACGGCCCTCCTCAGCCTCTTCGGCATCCCCCTGTGGTACCACTCCCAGTCGCCCCGCGTCATCCTCCAGGTAGGCACCAGGCGGCGACAGCAGTGTCCTGAGCAGTCGCCTCTGCAGCTGGGGCGGCTCTGTCCCCAGCCCTGCCCTGACCCGGCTCTTCCCTTCCAGCCAGATGTGCACCCAGGCAACTGCTGGGCCTTCCAGGGGCCCCAGGGCTTTGCCGTGGTCCGCCTCTCTGCGCGCATCCGCCCCACTGCTGTCACCTTAGAGCATGTGCCCAAGTCCTTGTCACCCAATAGCACCATCTCCAGTGCCCCCAAGGACTTTGCTGTCTTTGTGAGTATCTATCCCCCCTGTGCGGGCCCGAGGCGAGCTGCAGGGGGGCCTGGGGGTCTTACTGAGGATAAAGTTGGGGGTCATTCTTTGGCTGGGGACGGGGAGCAGATCTGGAAGAGATGGGGCCAGGGTGGGAAATGGGACTTCGATCCCAGTTGTCTCAGGCTACGGAGGGAAAAACAGGCCCAAGGAATGAAGCGATTTGTCTGTCACAGACCCCACAGCGGCCTGTTTCCGGTGCTCAGGTCCCCTGCAGCCCACCAGGGGGGAGGGGACGGTGGGCACGGAGAGAGGCACTCTCGGTGGCCGGGCGCGTGTCCAGGAGCAGCTCTTGCCTCATCCTGTGCTCTTCCCAGGGGTTTGATGAAGACCTGCAGCAGGAGGGGACGCCTCTTGGCCAGTTCACCTACAACCAGGACGGGGAGCCCATCCAGACATTCTATTTTCAGGTACAGGATTGTGTTGTGCCAGCAGAGGTGGCACACTCACTTCCCTGCCCACTACCCTGTGCCAGGCCCCGGGTTCAGACAGGAAATCACAGCGCCTGCCCTCTTGCAGCCCGAGGCATGGAACAGAGACAGCTGTGTTAGCAACTTCCCAGAAGGGCAGAGCCCCAGCTCCCCCAGGAGGCTGATTCCTTGGGGCTGCGGGGGCCCAGGAACCTGCAGCCTCCCCCAGGGGTGGAGCGGAGTACACTAGCGTGAGGTTGGGATGTGAGGCGAAGGGCCAGTGGCAGGAAGAGAGCCTGGACACCAGGCCAAAGAGTCTCAGCCCTCGGAGTGGGGGTGGAAGGGGGTGGGCAGTGCTGTTTTAGGCAGAGAAGTGACAGTATGATGTGCAGTATAATATCACTGTGGCCGTGTACATGGTGAGTCCACGGGGACAAGCCTGGAGACAGGGAGAGTCGGGAAGTGGTTGTAGGAAAGCAAGCCAGAGTTGATGATCGGTGTTCACCCGGAGGATGGAGAGGTGGCGGACACAATAGGGAAGGGGAAGGTGGGGAGGGCAGCCAAGAGGCTAATGCAGACGGGGGCAGGCACCTGTCCGGCGGTCCCGTGGAGCTGTCACCGGGCCTGACGGAGACTGGGCTGTGAGCTCCAGGCGATAACAAAGCCATGGAGTAGCCGGGGTTTCTCAGGGTGTGTGTAGACTGTGCCTGTAGGAGCAGGTGGAGGACAGGAGGCTGGAGGGGGAGAGGAAGGGCAGGAGGCACTGTGCTGGGCATCGAAAGCTGCCTCAAAAACTGGCTTTTAGAGCATAGAAGACAGAGGCCTGATGGCAACTTGAGAAAGAAAAGAAATTCTGCTTCGTTCAAAGAAAAGGGATTCTTTCCCAACATCAGCACAGCCGCAAACTCCACGAGGGCAGTGCCGCCGTCACCAGGCGCTCCTGTGGGTTGTCGGTTGGGATGAATGGGCCGGTGCTCAGCCACAGGCCTTTCTTCCGTGGCCCCGGGGGTGGCCCCGGTGGGAGGCCTCTGGAGCCCCTTGGCCCACCAGCTGGACACTCCTGCAGGGTCTGAAGACAGGAGCTGGGAAGTCCAGGTCTCAGAGGCCCCAGGGCAGGGGGCCTGGCCCGAGGGGTGGCACCTCCCGCCTGCCTGCTGCCAGTGAGGGCTGAGGGCTCCGACACTCGTAACCTCTTTCTTCTCCACCCAGGAACCCAAAATGGCCACATACCAGGTGGTGGAGCTGCGGATCCTGACTAACTGGGGCCACCCTGAGTACACCTGCATCTACCGCTTCAGGGTGCATGGGGAGCCCGCCCACTAGGCGCCCCGCACTGCTGCCAGCCAGCGGGGAGGCCCGCCACACCCCCTTCTCCGGGTGTTGGGGAGCAGCACCCCTGCGCTTCCCCACATGCTTGATCAGCGCACTGACTTCCAGGAGCAGGAGCCCTTGCCCAGTGGACACAGATGTGCCGGGCTTTCCCAGCAGCGGCAGCCCCAGGGCCCAGCTGGCTCCAACCTTTCCATCCTTCGTTCTCACGCCGGGCGCCAGGGTCTGCCTCCCCTCCTGGGAGGCTGTACATATGTAGCATATCATGTGGGACTGAGAGGCAGGGGAGGTGACGCGTGGACACGTCCAGCAGCCGTGGGCAAGACCTGACTGACTGCCCCTTGCCCACGGCGGAGGGGCTGGCACCCAGGAAGCTCTGTTGGGAGGTGTGTGGTGTGTGATGCACATGCCAAAGCCACAGGGGCACAAGCTAGGGCTCGGGGCAGGGAATTGAGGCCCCATGGGAGGAGGGTGCCCGCAGTTCCGGTTGGGACGGGCTGCAGGCAGGCAGCTCCTGGGAGCGGGTGGCTGGGCTCTTGCCGAAGCCAGTTCCATCGACCCAGGGGAGCTTGGCCCACAGGGTCCTCCAAGGGCTTCTATACACTGTGCTTGTCCTGGCGTGAGGTGGGCCGTGGGGCTTTTTGTACCCTAGGTCAGCTCCTGGGATCCTCGGAGGGGCCCCTCTGCTGCGGACACTAGTTGTTTCTGCTCGTCTGATGCGGGAGTGGGGCCTGCCTGTCCCTAGCACGTTTGCCACATCCCCCAGGGTGCGTCGGGGGCCAGCTGAAAGGGTGCAGGCAGAGGACGCCCTGGCTCCCCTGGTGGCCCAGTGATGACAGGGTGATATTCAGGGTGTCATGGTGGGAGGACTGTGTGACTTGTGCCCCATCTCAATCCGGCCCCTGGGTCAGGGGCCCTCACCCTCAGCACCCCCTCAGGGCTCTTCCAGCTCTTGCTCAGTCGCTTCCTTTCTGGCTTTTTTCTATGGGGGGTGGGGGTGAGGGGAGGGCAGGGGTGGGAGGCAGGGTTTTTCGCCTCAGCTGGCCCTGCTGTTATTATGTAAACACTTTTCAAGGTCATTTTTTTAACTGAAAAGCTAAGAGCTTGATTCCTAGCCCCGTTCTGTGGGGTGCTGGGTGATTTCAGTTCCGTGTAACCCGGATGCCAAGAGGGGCTGCCATGCAGGCAGGCGCCCTCCCGAGGGCCGAGCCTCACGGGGCGGGGCGGGGCTGAAGGCCAGGCCCCAGGCCACCCTGTGCTCCTCCGGCGCTGGCCCGCACACCTCTGCCCAGCTCTTCTGTCACAAATGCTGCGCCACTGGGCTCTTTTCTTATCTCCAGATTCTAATTTATACCTATGCAGAGTAAATTATGCCCAGGACTCATGGAATACCTGTTTTTTGTTTGTGTTTTGGGGGGAGAATACATGGTTTTTATCTGGCCATTGCACAGGGAATCTTCTTTTGGGAAAACGAGAATGAATTCTTGGCCAAAACAATGCTTCAAAGACTTACTCCTGAGTTAGAAACCCAGGCCTCTCAGCTAAAACCCAGCTGTGGTGGGAGGTGCGGCCTAAGCAGGCCCTGCCCCAGTGATTCTGGGCTCAAGGATGGGCAGGAGAAAGTGGGGTGGCTTTATTAGCCGACCCTGACATCATATGAAGCATCTTCTAGAGCCACATGAGTAGAAGGTAGCAAGTTACCTGCTTAACTAATGACCACATCTGCCTTCAGGGCTGCGTCCTTCTCCACAGGAGTTAGACATCTGCCCCCGAGTCTGGGCTGGGCTGGGACACGGAAGTGGGTGCCCTGAGAGCCAGAAGCTGCCGGCTCAGGTCCTGGCCCTTCCCCTAAACACTCCCCAGTCAGTGTCTCTAACGAGCTGCTCAGAGGGCCAGGGGCGGTCCCCCACTGCACCCTCCAACACGCCTCGTCTGACCATGACACCTGGCCCAGGGCCAGTCCCCATCACAGCTGAGAAAATAAAGGCAGGAACAGGTCAGTAGGAGGGGCTGGGGTCAAGTGCCACAGAGGGTGCCCGGTGGAGTGCAAATCCAGCCCAGAGGTTCTGCGCCAGTTCAGATCCCCTCAGCTTAGGGTCCCAGGAAAGAGCTAGTCCTACACAAGACTCGTCCCCCACTGACTGCTCACTTCTCTCCCGGTTCCACTCAACACCTGCTCTGCAACTAGCACCATTTTTCAACAAAGGAGACAGCCCTGAGCAGTACCGAGTCCCTGGAACTTACCACAGTCACAGGGCTTGGGGCCTCTGCTCTCGCCCTCGGACCAGGCACATACCCTCTGCCTGTCTGCACACGTTCAAATCCTACTGGCCCCTCACGGCACAACTCACACCATCTTCCCTGTGGTACGCCCCTTGGCCCCAAGCCAACGTGCACTCCCCGCCCACGTCACAGTCCTGCTGCCCGTGCTGTGCCGGGGCCAGTCCGCAGAACAGCGGTGTGACGGAGTTAAGATGCCACCGCCCCTACCACACACACAGAAGGGTCAGGGTTTGCCACTGAGATGATCCGATTAACAACTTTATTCTTCATCAACTACAAAAGGGCTGGTGTTCTGTTCCAAATGGAGCTGGTAGGCTGAGACCCACAGGGAACTCGGGTCGTCCCCGTGGAGGACAGTGAAACGCTGCACTCGGTCTGCCCTGCTAGCAGGTGTGGCCCGGTGGCCACACGGATCCGAACCAGCCTCCCGAGCATCTGAGGACAGAGGCCAGGTGGCGGCCACGGCTTCCTAACATCCAGTGGTTATGCTCACAGAGGCCGAAAAGTTCCAACAAAACCACGTCTACCATGGCCACGCCCAGGGAAATACCAGTTCCACAGCACCCGCAAGGGGACAGAGCAGGGCGCTCAACACTGGAGCCCTCTGATTACCAAGGATTCCGTGGGCAGCAGCCCTGCAAGCAGAATGAGCCAAAAAGCAAGAGGGAAACCGCCAGGAGACAAAGGAACAGGAGGGGCCAAAGGACACAGCTGAGCGGGAATGGCTGGGCCAAGGGCCAGGGTGGGAAGACCCCGCCTGCTGGTGGCACTGCGCCTCTGAGCTTGTGTCCCCACCTAGAACAATGGCGCCAACGCCACCTCCCTCAGACTATGAAGTGAGGGAGACACCTGGCACAGCCCCAGCCACACCAGACATGTCCATGCCACCTCTCTCAAGCCTGTCCCCCAGCTCGGGGCCTCTGCTATGGCCTTGGGGACCAGCGTGGGTACACGCAGCGTGCTGGGCACATGGGGCCTCACATACATCCTCAATAAATTCTGACCCCCCGGAGGCATTCACCTCTTGCTGGGGAGGAGGCAACTGAAGTCCAGAGAAGTCTGGCAACTTGTCCTGTGTCAGAGCTGGTGGGAGAGCGTGGGTGGTGAGGCCACGCCTGCCTCCCAGAATCTGGGCTGCCCTCCCTGCCCTGCTCTCTAAGACTGGGGCTGGGGCAGGCAGGGCACCAGTGTTCTCAGTGGCAGCTCCTCCACCTGTCAACGTGGACAAGCTTTCATGTTGTGTGCTGGTCTGGTCAGTCTGTGGCCATGGGCCAGTGGTAACTAGAAACAGCTGGGAGAGGGGAGTGAAGGACCAGCAGTCTGGGAGCAGGACAGGAGAGGGGTTGGGGACAAGAGGGAGGCAAGGCTGAGGAAGGACCCAGCCAGCTGGGTGTCTGTCCCGGCCAGGACACATCTCTGCCTGTTAGTGCACCCTCAACTGAGGGCTCCAGTCCCAGCTCAGCCAGGCTGGTTCAGGGCCCACGCTGCCTTCTGGGCCCCGCCCCCGCCCCAGGCAGTTCTTCCGGGCTTCCTGCTCCGCGGGGCCTGCACCTGCCTCCCCCTATCCCAACCGGGGCTTCCAAACCTGGGGCTCAGGCCATTCCCTGTTGTGCCCCTGCAGCAGCCACGCTGGGGTGATGTGGTGGAGCTGTGGTGGGAAGGAGGGGTTCCCCTCCCAGCCTGGCTCGGAGGAACACCCCACACCCCGCCAAAAGGAGGCGCTAGTGAGCAGGACCCTGAGCAGGCGACACCGGCTAGGTCATCAGGGCCCCAAGACCCAGTAAGGTTCAAGGTCCAGGCAGAAGGCAGCCTGGGAGGCTCAGCAGGTGGCAGAGGAGCTGCCTTGAGCAGCAGGCAAACAGGCTTGTCCCGGGAAGGAAAGCCACCAGCTGTCTTTGGGTCAGTGGCACGGGCTGGAGGGAAGGGCAGGGAGGGCCCGACAACCCAATCGCCTCTCCCCTCCACCATCTACAGGTTACAATGTAAGAGCTTCTGGCATTCCTGTTCGGGGGTTTAAGGAGAAAGAGGGAGGGAAGAGAGGGAGGGAAAAGAGGGAGCCAGCACTGCTGACCCTGCCAGAAGCCCCGAGTCCCAGGAGGAGGCTCCTGAGACGGAGCAGCAGCACTTATACCTGCAGCCCCCGCCCCAAGGTCGGCTCCAGAGAGGGCTCCGGGCACAGAGCAGCACTGGGAGGGAGGCCCTTCAGCTCCCGACAGCCCCTAAAGGTTCTCACAGACACACACATGGACGGACAGCTCCTGGAGGCCGGGGCCAGCCATGGAGGAGGAAAGGAAGAGAAGAAAGACTGCCAGGGCCCTGAGTGGCCATGCACACACCCACACACGCACACACACGCACGCACGCGAGAGAGAGAAAATAAAAAGAATAAAAACTAAGGGCCCAGATGTACAAAGACTGAGTGAGGAAGAAGGCGGGCAAGAGGGCGGGAGATGGTAGTGCTCCAGAAGTCTGCCGTCGTCCTCGGCTATAAATTAGAGCCCCGGGAACCAGGGCTGGGGAATGATGAGGCTCCGGCCGTGGCCTGGGGAGGGTGGTGGCTGCTCTGGCCCATCGGATGGAGCGTGGCCAGAGCACGATCCCTTGGGTAGGAAGGAGAAAGTCAGCAGCCGCTGGCAGGAGTCAGGCAGGCCCCCTGGTTCTTCACCTTGTGACGCTGGCCCCCTCGTCGCCGGCCCCCACTGCTGGGCTTGAGCTGAAAGAGAAAGGAGGAGCTTGAGAAGCAGCGGCCAGGGGGGCAGGGGAGGGGAGCAGAGGAGCAGAGGAGCAGGGGCAGCAGATGAAGGGCAGGCAGTGTGGTCCCAGCCTCGCCTGAGCACGGCTCTGCTGGTCAGATGGAGCAAGGGCCTGCTCTGCCGGCCTGCGGGGCAGGTGGGTCACGTGGCCAGGGTATGTGCTCGGAGGAGCACAAAGGAAGTAGGAACCAAGCTTTGCCACCACTGATGGTGGGAAGGGAAAGGGAATGACGGAGCCAGAGGAAAGCGATGGGGAGAACAGAAAGAACAGGTGCAGCAAAAGGTTCCTTCTCCAGAGGCGGGTCGGCTGGAGAAAGGCTCTGAGAGGAACCTGGGACAGAGCTGGCAGGGGTGCTGAGTGACAGCCACAGTGACACAGGGCCAAGGCCACCGGCCCCTCAGGAGGGGTCACGTTGGGGGAGGGGGCACAGGAGAGCCTCTACGGCAGATTTTCAAACCTTTTGGACCTTGGCACACTCACCCCCACACACAAACGCTATTTATTCTTACTGGCAACGGGAAACTGAAATGTGGCAAACTCTCAAATGCTCATCAGGACCAATTAAACTGCTTCTATGTAGGCCGCACCTCCAAGTTTGAAAAACAGTGCCTTCAGAGGCAACTGCGCATGCTCAGAAAGCACCTGTGCCGGGGCTCTCACACGTCACCCCTACTGACTCTGTGACAGCCACACCCCATCGCCCTGCCGGCACCCGCCCGAGGTGGTCAGGGGTCCAGGACGGCTGCGAGGCATGCTCACCGTTGGCTGGAGACTGCTGGATGCAGCTGACTGTGCAGCCCCCAGAGAGCCCGCTTCATCTCCAGGGGGAGGCACCCCTACGGCCGGCCCTCCAGGGGGGCCCCCATCTTCTCGTTTGGTCAGGGGGCCTTTTTTCGTTGACTGCATTTTAATCTGCTGAGGCTTGGAGTTCATTGGGGAGTTGTTGGTGGTTTGGAGGAGCTGCAGGAGCCAAGGGGTGAGGATGAGGCTGGAGCAGCAGGCAGAGCCATCAGCTCAGCGGCCGGCTCCCCCGCCCTCAGGGACTGCTCACTCCCAGCCTGGCTGGTCCTGGGAGCGCCCAGGTGTCCTCTCCCCATCCAGAGCTCCATCCTGTCCCTGCTCTGGCTGTTCTTCCCACAACCAGGGATCCTCAGCCCCTCCCACTCAGCCCAGCTCCCAGAGGGGGCCCTGCCTGCCGGAGCCTGGTGAGCTGAACGCCAGGCTCCCAGATGGGGCCCTGTCTGCCGGAGCCTGGTGAGCTGAACGCCAGGCTCCCAGACGGGGCCCTGCCTGCCGGAGCCTGGTGAGCTGAACTCCAGGCTCCCAGGCGGGCTAAGACTCCTCAGAGCATCAACTGCATCTCCAGCCTGAGGACCTTGCGGCCCTCGGAACCAGAGTCTGGGGCAGGTTTTAACTTCAGGCCCCAGCAGTGACTATCCCAGCAGCCGAAACATCGGACGTGTGGCTATCACCCAGGAGGAATGCCCTGGTCCAGCTCTCCCGAGGCAGGGACTGGCCTTGGCCCAGCCGGTCAGGAGGTCCCGCAAGGCCTCTCCAGAAGCACCTGCTGTGCTTGCGGGCCAGTGACCCTGGTGTCTGCTGGGGGCAGGGGAGATCTGCCCGGCCATACCTTGGTGATGGTGCCCACGGCCTTGGTGCGGCCTTCCCGGAACACCAGCCGCTGGTCTATGTGCAGGTACTCGGGGGTCTTGATAAAGCGGAAGTGCACCGTGGCCTTGTCCCCAGTGCGTAGACAGTCCTTGTCCATGCTCAGAATGGTGGCCGTCTGCCTGATGCTCCCACAGTGCACTGCCAAGGGAGCCAGGTCAGATACCTCGCGCCACCATTAGCCTCAGGGCAGGCAAGGCAGAGTGAAAGCATGAAATATGCTTGAGCTGCGCAGGCTAAACCTGGGGAGGCCTAGGGGAGCCGAGTGAATGGAGGCTGCACTGAGATCTGATCGTGCCTCGAACTCACCTACCTTTTCCTCCTGTTAGACCTCACCTGTCCCTGGGACCATGGTCCTTATTCCTGAATTCAGGGCACTATGTTTGCATGTGTCTCTCTAACCTGCTGGCTTCCCGAGGGCAGGGCCCTTGCCTACCTGGCCTTTGTCCCCAGCACCTGGCAACACCTGGTCTCAGCGTGTCATTCAGCAGACACTGAGTAGGCACACAGCCGGCACTCGGTTTGTTTGCAGGATTGATAAATGCTACAGCTCGTGGGCGGAAAAGGGAGCATCACTAAGCAGGAAGGAGACCTCTTGGATGGAGCTGAAACTTGTGGGTTCAGGTCACTGGAGCACTTTGTAGAGAGCTAGAGTGGGGGGCTCCTGGGCTGGCAGCCCCGTTAGACACCTACCCATGGCCTGGTAGCGTGGGCTAATCGTGGTGGGGTGGTGGAGGACGAGGATCTCGGCCTCAAATTCCCAGGATGCTTGGGGATTCAAACGCGGGGAAACCATCACCATTCCCTTCCGGATGGATGAGCGCTTAATCTGAAATAAAGAGGATCCCCAGACTCAGGCACAATGTGCCTTGGGGCTGCAGCTCCTGGTTCCCAAGGACTAGCCGACCTTCTGGGAATGAGGACCGCCCCACTCAGCCTTGCCCTCACTGCACCGGACCACGGGCCTTCCAGGCAGGTCTTAGCGCTCTGGGGAAGCGAAACACTGCTACTCAGGGTCATGCAGGAGCGGCATTTCAGCTGGGCCGTCAAGGACGGGTAAGAGCTAAGTGGGTGATGAGGGCAAAGGCAGGAGCAATGGTGGGAGGAACAGGGCGAGTATGACATGACTGCTGGGGGGATAGAGACAGCCTCATCTTGCTGGCTAACTTGGTTGGCGGAGAAGGTAGGTGATCCTAGAGCTGGCACTCACCCCTTCCTGGGGAAGGAGGTGGAATGGGAAGAGGAGTTGGCATGGACCCCAATGGCCCTCAGCACAGCAGGGAGATGCCTGTCTGACCTCACGGAGCTCAGCACACCCTGCTCAGGATTGGAGGGTGGCAGGAGGCAGGCAGGCCTGGCTCAAGTCCCGGCTCTAGCACATGCCACCTGCGCACTCCTGGGCATGTCTCAGGCGGGCTCAGCTCCGTTTCCTCCTCTGCGGGTGAGGTCAGTAAGCCCTGGCTTGCAGAGCAGCCGTGAGGATGGAGACGGCCCGAGCCCAGTAAAACGCGGACTCTTAGGGGAGTCAGGGTATTACCGACGCTCACCTTCTTCAGCGCAAAGGAGGCTGTCTGGCCGCCCCGCACCTCCTTGACAGGCATGCGCTTGCGGTGGATGGACTTCACGGCGATGGACAGGAAGTTCCCCAGAGGATCCGGGCCCAGCAGCAGCGTGTCATTCAGCTTGATCAGGCCCCTGAGTGTTGTCCCTGACACCACCGTCCCCACACCCTGCAGAGAAGACCCTGGCCCCGTAAGTCTCTCCCCACTCAGCCCCTTTCCACCACACACTCAGCCCAACCCCCTGTGGGAAGTGCCCGCCCAGCCTCCCGCCCTGCTCGTCCGGAAGCCACGCACCACGCACCGGCACAGAGTAAGTGTCGTCAATCTGAAACTCCGCCGGCTCCTCCTCCCGGTAGCTGGTGCGGGGGGACAGGAGGTTGAGGAACATCTTCAGCAGATCTAGGTTCTCGCCTGTGACGTTGGAGATCTGGAATATCGGGCACATCCTACGTGGAGGGTGAATAAAAAGAAAGACAGGAGCTCAGGAGGCCAGCCTGGCCGACAGGATGGGAGCAGCAGGGGGGCTCCTGGGAGGGCCCCACTGCCCCTCACCCGCCTCCCAGGGCTCTTCCCCTCTGGCCCGGCTCTAAGGCCTTCTCCTCTTACTCAGTTTTGTCTCTAAAATCGCCCCCCTCCTCTCTGTCCCTCCACCGCTGCCCCATTTCAGGCACTCAGAACTGCTTCTTCCTAAAGCACACGCAGGCTTGCTTCAAGCCCTCAATCCCTTTCCCATTATGGAGAAAACAGCCCGCGTCCCTCCTCCCAGCATCCTGCAGGTATTTCTCTCAAATCCCTATATTCCAGCCAGACCAGAGGACTTACTTTCTTCTAAAAGCCTGGTTCTTTATGCTCCCCTGTATTTGTCCACTCTGATCCTCCTGCCTGAACTGCTTCCCTCTGATCCAACTACCAAATCCTCTCATCCTTCAGGGCACGCCTCCCTGCTGCTGCTTCCAGGAGACCCTTCCCAGACGGGCATTCACTCCTCTCAGCTCCTGAGCTTTTTGTGCCTCCGTTACATGTAACTGCCTGACTTGCCGTCATCTATCTCAAAGGCCTCTGTATCTCCACCCAGGGTTAATCAAACTCCTGGAGATCAGGAATAATATATCCCCACGGCTCCTAGAATAGTACCTGCACAGACAGGCACCGGAAAAACTCAGTGAATTAAAATGGGGGCAGCTGCCCTGGCTGGTGTGGCTCAGTTGCTTGGGCGTCACCCTGTGCACCAAAGGCTGTTGGTTTGATTTCCGGTCAGGGCACATACCCAGGTCGCAGGCTTGATCGCGGGTAGAGGATGTGCACGAGGCAGCTGATGTTTCACTCTCACATCAATGTCTCTCTCTCCCTCTCCCTTCCTATCTCTCTCTAAACACACACACACACACACACATAATAATTTTAAATAAGATAAATGGGGGCAGCTGAAATGTACCCCCTCTGCTGGTCAAACGATGGTACTGAAGACACTGTCAGGGCAGAACAGGCCAAATGCCAGGGTCCTGTACTACAGACCAAGCCAGAAGACAGGTGGCTCTAAGCAGCCCCAAGACTCTGGGAGAAGGAACAGAGTTAACAAAGTTCAAAGAGTATCTCTGACCAAGGAGCTGACCACCTTGAAGACAAGGCTAGTGCCTGAGTCAACTCTGAAACCTCAATGCTGAGATGAAGAGCCTGGCACACAACAGACATCCAAGTATATTTATAGAATCGCAGGATATGTTAATGAGTAAAGGCCTAAAATGATCTGTGATTTGAGAGCTTTTGAGATACAACAGTATAAAAATATAGAATAAGTTATAAAAATGGCAGCTTTCTATTACGCAGGGGCCAGGCACAGTTTCCAACCCTACGAGAGCCCTATGGAGGAGGGAACAACATTCTCATTTCACAGGCAAGGACACTGAGGTCTCGCTGGGATTCTAACCTCAGTGAGGCTAGCTCAGGGGTGGGCAAACTTTCTGACTCGAGGGCCACAATGGGTTCTTAAACTGGACCGGAGGGCCGGAACAAAAGCATGGATGGAGTGTTTGTGTGAACTAATATAAATTCAAAGTAAACATCATTACATAAAAGGGTACGGTCTTTTTTTTTTTTTTTTTTAATATATTTTATTGATTTTTTACAGAGAGGAAGGGAGAGAGAGAGTTAGAAACATCGATGAGAGAGAAACATCGATCAGCTGCCTCCTGCACATCCCCCACTGGGGATATGCCTGCAACCCAGGTACACGCCCCTGACCGGAATCGAACCCGGGACCCCTCAGTCCGCAGGCCGACGCTCTATCCACTGAGCCAAACCGGTTTTGGCGGTACGGTCTTTTTTTTTTTTTTAGTTTTATTCATTTCAAACGGGCCGGATCCGGCCCGCGGGCCGTAGTTTGCCCACGGCTGGGCAGCTCCTCAGAATCTGAGGCATCTGCCAGCCTGGGAGACCTTGTGCTGAGAGCACGAGTCCACTTCACCCCGTCTGTGCCCGCCCAGAAGTGAGTGCTCCCAACCCTGTTACCTCTCGGAGCTGAAGTTGGAGGCGGTAACGATCACATCATCCTTGCTCTGCACCAGCACAGGGATCTTCCGGCAGCCTGGCGACTTCAGCAGGCGCTGTAACAGCTTCAGGGTTTCTTAAAGGGTGAAATGAACAGAATTAGGAGACACAGGCTTCTCTTTGGCCAGGCTTTTAGGGCAAGACAGGTCGACTCATCACTGTTGCAAGCAGGAGACAGAGAATGTTAAATGCCACAATGCCTGGAGAAGCAAAAAAGAGGATCAAAACTTTGGGTGGATGCATGTTTGCTAGAGTAGAAACAGAGCACAGATGGGGCCTGTCTGCTGAGGTGATGAGTCTGAAACCATTGGATTTCTTTAATCTCTAGAAGACCCGCATCCTGTAAGTGATGGGAGAAGGCAAGCGGGGGGGGGGGGGGGGGGAGTCCACAGGGACAATGTTCTCAGAATGCTCTGCTTCCTGGGGGAAAAAAGCATCTGACAAAAGGATCTCTAGCACATTCAGATGCCTGCAGAGGTCCTCATGAAGCCCCCCCAAAGGACATCTCTCCACTTCTCTCCTACCATCTGCAGCTACGAGGGAGAAATGCATGAAGGCCTAGTCCTGCTCTTGTTTTAAAGCCTTTGGTGCTAAAACATTATCAGCCTGGCTGGTGTGGCTCAGTGGTTGAGCGTCAACCCCTGAACCAAAAGGTTACCAGTTTGATTCCTGGTCAAGGCACATGCCCAGGCTGCAGGCTCGATCCCCAGTAGGGAGCGTGCAGTTAACAGCCGATCTTTGATGTTTCTCTCTCATTGATGTTTCTATCTCTCTATCCCTCTCCCTTCCTCTCTTTGTAAAAGAAATCAATGAAAACATATTTAAAAAAACAAACAAACAAAAAACATTACCAGACCCCCTGCCCCAATGTTGCCACATACATCCAGCTCACATGGTAAAACCCAACCCCCTCTGTCTGAGGCCATCTGAAAAGAGGTACGAGACTAGAGGCCTCAAGAATCTTGCATTTGGAACCAGAAAGAACAAAGTGCAGGGGGTAATTCTAGGCTACGCTCAGACCAAGAGCTGAACAGGGAGAAGGCAGAAGGTTCTGGGCTGATGGGAAACTCAGGCGAGGTCTGAGCACAAGATAAGGACGCTGAAGGCTCTGGGCTGAAGCCCTGGCAGCAGACCACCAAGGAGCCCAGGGGGTGGCAGCCCCAAACAGAGAGACTGCTGCTAGCTGGGGGCTTCACTTACCTTGCAAGATGTTAGCAGGACACATATCAATCTTGGTGACCACCACAAAAACAGGCACATTGAGTGCCAATGCCAAGCCCAGGTGCTCCTTGGTCATCCCCACGATGCCAGCATTGCTGCCCACCTGCCCCAACACAGAAAGAACTATCAGGGCAAGGGAGACAGAGGTGGCTGCTGGTGGCACAGAGACTTAACGACTGCTGACGGGAGAGCGCTCCCATCTCTGAGGCCGCCATCAGAATTGGACACAGGGGCACAAGTCTCAGGCCAGGAACTAAACGGCTACAGATGAAAGCTGGGCTGGGCACAGATTGCTTTAACTCAATTCAACACTGTGGGCTAGCAAAATCCGAGGAGACTTGGAAACAATAAAGACAAATCCACAGAGTGCGGAATCTCGGAGTGAAGGTGAGGGAGATAATCAACCAAAGACCTTATACGCATATACGCATAACCCATGGACACAGATAATAAGGTGTTGAAGGCCTGCCATGGGGGCAGGGGCAGGCTGGAGGAGATCACTGGGGGGTTGGGGGGGGGGGGTGGACATATGTAATACTTTCAACAATAAAGCTTTATTAAAAAAAAAAAAGACAAGCCCAGACAATCTGGGAAAACAACTGTCTAGGGCAGTGATGGCGAACCGTTTGAGCTCGGCGTGTCAGCATTTTGAAAAACCCTAACTTAACTCTGGTGCCGTGTCACATATAGAAATGTTTTGATATTTGCAACCACAGTAAAACAAAGACTTATATTTTTGATATTTATTTTATATATTTAAATGCCATTTAACAAAGAAAAATCAACCAAAAAAAATGAGTTCGCGTGTCACCGCTGACACGCGTCATAGGTTCGCCATCACTGGTCTAGGGTCATCAAAGTGAATTCAGTTTAACAACCCTGGCTCTCAGTGTCCCCATCTATAAATTGGGGGGGGGGGGGGTTAATACCCATTTTAGAGGGTCACTTGAAGTTTAAATGCCATAACATGTCAGGGGTCCAGCACGCAACTAGCATGAGTAGGTGCTCAAGCAACAGCTGCTATTATTACTGTTACTATTCCTTCCCATAATAATAAAGGTTTTTAAATATCACCACAGAGACTGGTTAAATGAATTAGGGCACATGTGCCAAAAAAGAGGAAACTTATCTACTGATGTGGGATAATCTCTAAGATATGTTTTTAAGGGGAAAAAAGCAAGGTGTATATAGCACACTACCATTAAAAAAATGGTGACTAGGTTACTGTTGAAAAAAGCAGATGTATGACATTTGGGGAACATCTGAGAAATATAAATACTTCTGGACTAGATACTGGATGATTTAGGGAGCCCTCCTTCACCTTCTTGGTTGCAGGAACAGTAGGAGGCAGTTCTTACTTTTAGGAGCTGTGTGCTGAAGTACTTGGGGGTGAAGAGTTGAAATGTCTATAATCTACTTTCAAATGCTTCAGGCAAAAAACAAAACAAAAAAAACCCACACATCCATCCATGTACAAATAAGTATAGCAAAATGTCAATTGTTGAACCTGAGTGGCAAGTTTACAGTATTCATTAGACTATTCTTTCAACTTTTCTGAATGTTTGAAATTGGAGGAAGAGAATATTCACACTTTTGCTGGTATGATTACAAATATCTCTGGATACATGAGAAACTGGAAATACTACTTGCCTCTGAGTGGAAACTGCACAGAGTGAGGAAGGGAGACTTTTCACTCTAAGCCTTTTGGTACCTTTTTATTTTTGTATCACATAAATTTGTTACTAAAACAAAATTGTCATGAGATTTGATCATCATAGTTCACAGATGAGCCAACTACCAATGACACAGATGTCCCACACCTGTGCTTTCAGCTACAACAAGACACCGCCCCATCTTCCCTCCTAATTTTCCCCATTCCCTCCAACCTTTCCTATCCAACCCAGACTTGCTTTAGTTCTTCCCAACCTGGAAAAGAGAGAGCTCTATTGCTTTGAAGATCCCCCACCCTCCTGGAAATAGATTGCCATAGAATAATAATCAAATATTTAATTATTTTCTACAGAAAATTTTAATATTTGTATCTGGCCCAAAAGTCAGATAATATTTAACGTTTCATATGAGTGAAGATGTTTCCAAAAATTGGCCTTTCTCACTGTAGCTTAGTTAGAAAAGCGTTCATTTTAAACTGACAGATGTCTATACCTTTCTTTTTTTATTTAATATATTTTTATTGATTTCAGAGAGGAAGAGAGAGGGAGAGATGGAAACATCAATGATAAGAGAGGATCACTGAACAGCTGCCTCCTGCACACCCTGCACTGGGGATCAAGCCTGAAACCTGGGCATGTGCCCCTGACCGGAATCGAACCCAGGACCCCTCAGTCCGCAGGCTGACATTCTATCCACTGAGCCAAACCGGCCAGGGCTATACCTTTCTTAATACCACCCCATATGCCCTAAGGACCATCCATTGAAACCCCTTCTTAGAGAGCATGTTTCCCTAGCCCAGTCCAGGCTGGTCATGGCCCCTTGCAATGATCAAAGATACAGGAAATGAAACCACACTGAGAGCCCAAGAACCCTGGGCAGAGAGCCCACAGTGTTCATCCAGATGCGCCGCCTCCCTTTAGTCTCGTCTGGGGGGACTTCGCCGGAAAACCTGTGTTTGTGGGACAACCTGATGGAGCTTGCTCTGAACAGATGCTGCGTTTACTACATTTATTAATGCAAGCAGCTGGAGGGGCTGGGGCATGGGGAAGGGCCTCGAGGACTTGCGGAAGGAAAACGTGCTTGCTGGTTCTGTCTGAGAAAGCTGTGAAGCTGCCACCCAGGTTGTGGGCCTCACAGACCCCCCTCTGTCCAGGGAGGAAGATCAAAGGGACCCAAATACAAGCTTAGCAACATGATCCAACACGGGCCTCTGCTCCCTTCCTTTTCAGTCCCTCTACATAAATGAGCTGCTCAGAAATCCATTCCTACCAGGCTGATCGCTCTCTGGAGCCCAGGCCGGCCCTGTTCGCTGCTGCCTCCCCAGGCCCGGCACGGTCCCAGGCACGCAGCATCCTCTCAACATGGACACTCATTCCAGGCTCCGGAAGAGGCCCCCTCTCAGGCGCCTCTTGACTGCTGTCTGTGCTCTCCTCCATCCCTCCCCCCTGGCCCCCCTCTCTGAGGGTTCCCCCTGGTGCCACCTCCTCAAAGTAGCCCAACCCCGGAAGAAAACATTTCTAAAGGCAGTAAGTAACCCCCAGGAGAAACCCTCCTCTGTGTCTCTCCAAAAAATGAGAGGTCTGCAAATACCCTGGCTTTTCCTTAGGGGATCCCTCCTGAGCCTCACCTAGGAAATCAAGTTACACCCTTGAGATGACTGTAGAGCTCAGGGGACCCTGGCAAAATTGTCATCCTTACCCAGTGTCAAAGCCCCAAACCAACAGGCTTCAGCCTCAGAACAATTTCAAACCTGTGCACACCACCACACCCTCCACGTCCCGCTGAAGCCGCACTTACCATGAGCATGCAGAAGTCAGGCAGGTGGCCCGTCATGCCGAAGACCGTGGTCTTCAGGTATTTCTCGTGGCCAGCCAAGTCAATGAAGGTGATCACTTTAGTGGATTTCTCACAAATCTTCGTCCACTCCAGGCTGCCACCGTGGCTGTCTGGCTTGTTCACCACATTGCCTTCGCTGTCAAAGCCCAGAATGTCGTTGCCCACACTGCTGGTGCGACCAGATTCGATCTCATGTTTGTGGCGGAAGAGTTTCTGGCGGGCAAAGCCTCGGCCATTGTCCAGCTCCCCGTGTGTCAGGACCCCCAGAAGCGTGCTTTTGCCAGCATCCACGTTGCCCACTACCGCTACCCTGCGAGTACATGAAGCCACACATCCACGTGAGAGTCAGTGGTGAGTGAAGGGAAACCCACCAACCGAGTCTGTAAGGACAGGCTTGCTCCTGAGCCTCTCCAGCTCACTGCCCCTCCTACTCCTGGGTAAGCACCGTGGGAACGTGCCTGGAGGTATTCTCCAGGGCGCAGGAAGGGTTATGCAGGAGAAGCGGGGCTCCCACCACTGTGGCTTTCTCCCTGAACTCCCACTCGCTTCCCCAAGGCTGCTGGAGGGGGGCCCCAGAGCCAAGACAGGCACAAAATGCCTCCTCCATCACCCAGGTTTCTGGACTCACAGGCCGATAAGAAAGACAATGCAGCCCACAGAACGAATGGCTGGCCTCGCTCCCACTCTTCCCAAGTGGAAACAGTTAGGGATGGGGAGGTGCAGGAATAGAGAAAGGTGCTATGGTGTCTCTGGACGCTCTTTCCATGACTCAGAAGGGAAGGGGTGAAGCTGCCACGCTAGGTGTCAGAGGCTCAATCACGGCTCGTGCTGCAGGGACTCCTGAGGCCTCCTCACCTGACCTCCAGGAAGTCATTGTCTCCCACTCGCTTCCGGACCAGGTAATCACGCACGCGGCCCCCCGCTTCCTGCCGTTCCCGCAGGAGGATGACGTCGGCCTCTATCTGCTCGGCCATGCTTTTCACTGTGGCGTAGGAGGCCTCCATGTCCGCTTCACTCAGCCCGTACTCAGTCCCATCTGGTGACAAGAGCCCAGGCATCAGTGTTCCAACAAGCCAGACAGTCTAGCCCTAACCAAGGCCCCACCCTAGGCACCAGAGCACATGGCTCTCTCTATTTGACACTTTTAAAAACCTTGGGCACATGCAGAGTTAATAAATAATAGTGCCACAGGCCTCCCCATTAAGCAAGACACTCATTAATTCACTCAACAGTAATCACTGAGACTCTCCTGGGTTTTACGCCAAGCCTCATGCTGAGTCCGGGGAATACAGGTGCCCTCAGCGAGCTCACAGCCCAGTGGGAGAGACAGGAAATTAATTAATGGCAATACAGCTTGAATATTATACTATAGAACTGTACAAAGAGAATGTAAAGTTTGGGCAACTAGCACTGCCTGGGGAAGCGGAGGGCAGCTTGGCAGGGTGCTGCAGAGAAGGGAGGAAAGGTGTCCTCGGCGGAGAGGCTAAGCATGGAACGCTGCCGATCACAGCACACTCAGGGCCCAGGAGCAGCTCGGTGTGCTGGGGAGCTGGGTGGCAAGTGGCAGGAGACCACACAAGAGGTGGAAGCGGTTAAGCAGACAGACATTAGCAGCAAAACACACGATGCACCAGGCAATGGGAAGCCTTGGGGGTTTAGGCAAGGGAGTAACATGACCCGATCGCTGCGGGTTAGAAGGATCTCTTGGGCAGCGGTAAAAAGTGTACACCGACAAGTGAGAGACCAGAAATGGGGAGCCCAGTTAGGAAGTCGTTCTCATAATCCCGGCAAGCAATAATGAGGACGGGAGACAAAGGGAAATGGGAGAGAGTTAAGGATGATTTCAGAAATAGAATTTTGACTGAGGTAGCTACAGTGAAATGCCCAGCAAATAGATGGAAAAATGAGTCTGAGCTCAGGATGAGGAAGGGAGGAACCAATTAACCAATCATTTACTGAGAGTCCATTGATGACAATTCCCATCAGTGCTTTCCACTCGATGTCATAACTTCCACAATAGCTCCTTCAGCTTCTCCTCCAGCCTCTGTCTCTGAGACACCCCTGCGCCTGCCCTAGGCTAACCCGCCAGCAGGGGCCTAATCTCTTCTACTGCCTCCCAAACACCTTGAAGCACCTTCTCGCACCCTCTCTTCCTTTTCCTCCTACTTCTCCCCGTACGGACAAGCTCAGTCACTCCTCAGTGAGGAAAAGGAAACCCCTCCTCACCTCCCCTGCTTGTCTACCGTCTCCTCTGTTCCTCCTTTACCACCGAGCATCTCAAAAGAGTAATTGAGACTTGCTGACTATCACCATCCTACCCTGAATCTTCTAACACTAGAAAAAACTAGCTGTCAAGTCATCAATGGCTTTCTAACCCCTCCTCCGATGCCCCTTTCTCGACCACAACAGTATTGGCCACTGCTCGCCTCCCTCCGCCCTGCGTGCCGAGCGCATGAACTCTCCTGATTCCCCTCCTGCTCTCTGGCTCCTCTCTCTGTCTACGCTGTGGCTCTTCCTGCTCCTGTCCTTAAATGCCAGGCTTTTCCAGTAGCCAGTCAGGGCCCTCTTCTCTATCCTCTGAGCATTCCCCTTGACTATCTCATACTATGGCTTCACCTGTCATTTAAAAACCTACAAAATAAGTAAATAAATAAATAACCCCTTTCGTTTCTAGCACTGTCCTCTTCCCAGGACTCTAGGATGAATTCCCAGTTGCCTGGATGGCTCTTAGAAGCCTGATGTCTAAACTCAACAACCCAAGCCCCTCCCTTTAAACAACAGCACAAAAACTAACACCATTAATAAGTCACTTTAGTCCTCACTGCAACCCTCTGAGGTAAACAGAACCCAGAGAGGACTCCGAGCTGGCCGAGCGCCAAGGGGCTGTGAGCTTAGGTCTTCTGATTCCAAACCCAGAGCCTTTTCTCTGGCCGGGGTTCCTCTTATGCCAGACCAGTTCCTCCTCTCGCCTTCCCTATTTCTGAAGACAGCACCATCCTCCCAGTCACCCCAGCGGAATACTCATCACTCCGGTCCCGCTGATTCTAGCTTCCTACCTGCCCTTCTTGCTTTGTCCCGGCTCTGCTCTTTTGGCCAACCCGCTGCCACAAGTCTGATTCAGGCCCTGATTCTACCTCAGTTACCACAACAGACCCCTAACTGGTCTTAGCAAATCCATCTCAGCTCCTCCAGCCCATCCTGCGTGGACACAAGTCCGTGCTCCTAGAAAAAGAAGCTCTAATGTTGTCACGCCCTCGTCAAAGCCTGTGTGGGAATGGCTTCCCAGGCCCAGCAGGTTCAGTTTCAATTCCTTAGAGGTCTCCCCACTGATTCCACCCCCCCACCCCCTCAGTTCCGTCCCAGTGCAAGCAAGCCAGTCACCATCCCTCCCACGTTCTCTGTACTTCTCCAGCTCACACCCTTGCTTATGTAACTTCTCCAGCTCACACCCTTGCTTATGTAACTTCTCCAGCTCACACCCTTGCTTATGTAACTTCTCCAGCTCACACCCTTGCTTATGTAACTTCTCCAGCTCACACCCTTGCTTATGTAACTTCTCCAGCTCACACCCTTGCTTATGTAACTTCTCCAGCTCACACCCTTGCTTATGTAACTTCTCCAGCTCACACCCTTGCTTATGTAACTTCTCCAGCTCACACCCTTGCTTATGTAACTTCTCCAGCTCACACCCTTGCTTATGTAACTTCTCCAGCTCACACCCTTGCTTATGTAACTTCTCCAGCTCACACCCTTGCTTATGTAACTTCTCCAGCTCACACCCTTGCTTATGTATTTCCTCTCCTACAAAACCCACGAGCACACCTCCGACCTCCCCTGCTCACTGACGGCATCCCCACACACTACGCCTTGTGGAGCAGTGTTTTGGATGCACGTCTTCCCTCACTATCCATTAGCATCTCCAGGAAAGAAGTCGAACGCAAACATTCCCGGGATCCCCAGGGGGGATGCGTTTCCTACATGAAGTTCTCAGTGTTTGCAAAATGCGAACCAAGTGCACAAAGAAGGAGCAGTTGGGCTGAGGAGTTTCTAAACGCAGGGCCAACTGAGCTCTGGACGTCTGGGTCAGAGAACTTGAAGTGTTCCTTGGAGAAAGCCTGCTAATCCTGCCATTCTTGCCAGATCCCCAAATTCTAGCCACTGTTTCTTGATTCTGACCCAACGAAAAGCAATGTTTTCAGGTCCTGTTCCACAGCTGGGGGCAATGACCAATAGCACCTCGTCCAGCCAGAGCTCCGGGTGGTCAAATGCCCCGTCACATTCCCCTTCTCCGCATGCACTGCAGTCCTCACGCGGCATTAGTGGAGACAAAGGCCAAGGGGAAGGCCGCAGCGGTCCAGTTACTAAAGGCCACATTCACCCACACCTGACCCTCAGTGCGACTTCAGTCCTGGCACCTGACTTACCCTTTCTACATGCACTTCCTGCTCAACCTGATGCGAGGTTCTCCGAACTTTCAGGATAAAAGCCTGAACTCTTTGGAATGGCACTCAAGGACCGTCCTGACTGGCACTCCCAGTCTCACACACTACACTCCTGCTTCACTGGCCCGCCACTGGCCCGCCACCTGCTCCTCCTTGGCCGCTGCCTCTTGCCTGTGGCTGCCTCTGCGCACTCACACTGCCTTCGTTCGCCCAGAAAACTCCTGCTCATCCTTCAGAACCGACTCAAGGGTCACATCCGCTTTGAAGCTTTTCCTGACTCTCCACAAAGACTTCATACTCCTCCTCCTTTGTTCCTGAACTTTTAATACAGTACCTGGCTCTTAGAAAGTTGTAACTTAATAACTGACAAATTAACAAGATTCTGCCCTCACCAGTTTGTCTCTGTGGATAGAGTGTCAGCCTGCGGACTAAAGGGTCCCGGGTTCGATTCCGGTCAAGGGCATGTACTTTGGTTGTGTGCTCAATTCCCAGTAGGGGTTGTGCAGGAGGCAGCTGATCAATGTTTCTCTCCCACTGATGTTGCTAACTCTCTATCTCTCTGCCTTCCTCTCTGTAAAAATCAATGAACTATATATTTTAAAAAATTAACAAGATTCTTGACAGCAATCTCATGGCAAATCAACTATACCTGGAACCCTTAAAGAATTATTACTGCAACTATTAATAGTAGCTAACATTTATATAATGCTCACTATGTGCCAAGTGTTAACCTTCACCATGACACTACTACTCTCCCCTTTTTAAGATAACTTAGAGCCAGTAGGCAAAGTCAGACCTGCCAGACTCCAGACCCTGAACTAACTCCTGGGCCAGATTGCCCCTTTTATAAGATCCATCTTAGAGTACGAATGTGTACTTAAAGAGCACATTCCTCTATGCAGCTTAGAATGTTTAATGCCAGTTTATTCATACAAAATGTCTCAGAGGGAGGGTGGGGAAGGATGTCATTATCCTCATTTTACAGGCAAAGGATGTGATAAACAGAGGTGAGGCGCCAGGCACACACAGGAAGCAGGTGCTGAAGCCGGTCCCTGGGGCCTTGCATGTGGTTTAGTCCTCTGTTTGATGTTCAGCTTGTTTAACTAGTTACAACCTCTAAATAATTCCAGCAGGAAGGAGTCACTGTGAATCTAATACCATCCAGGTGATAGATGCAAAGATAATGCCTGGGTGTGTAATGTGTTAATGAATGTTTGACATCTTATGCTTTGCCATGAACGGGTTAATTAGTTGTCAGCCGCCAGGGTCCGGGAAAATTCACTCAGAGTCCACATTAAAGAACTGGGGGCAGAGGAAGGTGAGTTAGGGATCTGGGTCTCAAAGAACAGTCCCACCACTTGTCAAAACTGATCTAGATGTGGTTTCTTCAGCTCCACAAGCAGGAAGTGGTCTCTTATGGTTCATTCTATCACAGCAGGCCTAGTCTGTACCTGCCACAAAGGTTTCAAAAAGCTAGCAATGACCCCCTAGTTACCAAATGAATGGCTTTTTCTGAACCCAACTCTCCTTGCTGTCTCTCTAGCACTTGACAGTGCTAACCAACTCCCCTTCCTGACATGCAAAGGGTGATAAGACCAAAACTAAGCGGTGGCAGCAAAGATGGAAAGGAAAGGATAGATAAGAAACACATTTCAAAGGAAGGCACAGCAGTAACTGGAGATCGAGCCCTTCTTCTTTGTGTCACTTCTGACCATTTCCAAATACTATTCTCTATTGAGGTTATTTGTATATATGCTATCTTTCCTCCCTGGGACAGAGACCAGATTTTAGTATCCAAAACTACTTTGCAACAGTATCAAGCCCTTAGAAGATACTTAATAGGTATTAGCCAAATAAAGAATGATATTGAGATCTTCTCCATCTTAAACTCAGTCAACAAAGGAATTATTATCTGCCTTTACAAAGCCTACATTCACAAAGAGAGCTGTTCCTTTAATGATGCACCAAGCCCTCCTGAGGCTTCCTGCAAAGATGACAGACCAGTTCTGGTTCAGGCTAAATTCATAATCATTATCAAGCCCAGCTGTCATTTCAGCATAATGCCAGAATGAAGATAAAGTAAGTAGGCCTCGTGTTGAAAGGATAGAGGAGGAATGACTCGGGGGGAAATACCCAGGACATAATGTGGGATTCTGTTATGGAAGCTGCCTTCCTCCAAAACAGCCCCATTACAACGGAATAAGCAGGCCGGAGTACAATAACCAGTTCCTTCCAGAATGCTACCTCGTCTACATGTCTGATGGGATCTCACGGGGAGAAGAGAGGGCTTCAGTTAGCACAACTACCCACACTGAGTGGTCAGTGTGGTCTGGGGCAAGACAGCCTTGCTGAAGAGAAGAATTCCGGTGTCTCCTCCTTGCTGATACCAAGAAGGACCACATAAGTTCTCTGCTAAGCAGACAGTAATAGCAATGGGATCTGTAAACTGGGGTGGAGGGGAAGACTAGAGCTGCCCAGGGAAGGCTGAATCCTAGGCCTGTGGCTTGCTCTACACCTGGGACAAGTTTCCTGGCTTGGTGCTTCATTCCCCTTCATGCAAATGGAGGTGGAAAAGAGGCATCTGTAAAACCGCTTGGAAAGTGAATCTTTCAAGTCAAGCATATTATGACCAAAAAGGTGGGAATGAACAGATCACATTATACTTTTATATCCTCCCAAACAGTTCTGCAGACACTGAACAAAAAAATGGGTAAAAGATGGGAAATGTGCTCTAAATATTTTTTAAAAAATAAAGTGAAAGGAAAACTATGCTCACCTGATCCCTGCCCAATGACATATATGGTCTCTCCGCATCCCTCGTCCATCCTCTCCCACATCTGCCGAAGTAGGCTGTCATACTGCTCTGACGTAGGGCTCACTAGAACCAGCTAGAAAAGAAACCAACAGCCTTAGACCACACTTACTACAAGAGCACCACAGCCAAAGCAGGTCAACAGCCTGACCGAGGCCCTGACTGCACCCCGCAGCACCCTAATCTACAACAGCTACAAAGCCCCTCCTGCCCTCTCTGCCACTCCTTCAATAGCCTCTGAGCCGAAGGCCTTATCTGAGTTGAGTTTTATAATGTACTAAAATGACGACGTGTGAAACACAACCCACAGAAAAGAGGGTGTGAGCAGCCTGCCTCCAGCTGCTTAACAGGAGGGGAAGGACCAACAATGACTGAGAATCTGACACTGTGGGTAGAAATTGATGAGCAATGCTCCATACCCACATGCCAAAGTCTTCTACCTACAGCTTGCAACTCATAGGACAAAGATCTAAACTGCCATGCCCTCCACCTTAGACCAATGGTTGCCATAATAACAAAAGAGTTCTGTTCCATTTTGCCTTGGCTATCTTGATTTTTTCTTTTTCTTTAGGAATCGGCAGTAAAAAATGCTGCAAGACTAGTCTTCATCAACAAAACACCATTACCACTAAGATGGGCATTAGCACGATCATTTTACGAATTTGTGACAATAACATTTAAGTATCAACCGCTTATTTGGGGAGGACATTTAACAATAACCATTCTTGTGTGACCTTGGACAAAGAGCTTAATCTCTCTCAGTCTCATTTTCTTCAATCTACAAAATGTAGGTAATACCACCTGCATCCTCAGGCCACGCCACTGTAAAGACCAAATACGATAACATGTAAGCATCTAGTCCAAAGCTCAATAGGTGGTAAGTACAGTTTTCTTCACAATCCTTTCCAAAAAAAAACCCTTCTTGGATGAAACTAGCCATTAACTGTTTCTCACTTTGGAAACTTTCAGAGCCTTAGATCTCCACATATAATTGTAGCAAGTGCAGAACTAACAGCTTCTAATCCTTTCCTCAAGACTCAATCTCTCAAACCATTCCTTATCTCTCTCTACATGGTCATTTTTCTTTTCGATATCACCGATATTTATATACATACAGTTCCTCAACATCCCAGCTATGAGATGAAGAACCACTTCCCTACTCTGGAACATTAAATAAGTTGGTCAGGAAATGAAAGTATTACTCTCTTTGCAACACTACCCTGCAATTTCCCACTGTTTTCAGGTTTCTCCAGCAACTTGACCATGATTGACATCCAGCTGGCCTGCTTGAGTCAAGCACATCTCTTACAATTCTCCAGTTGACTCATCAGAGCTTGTACTTCTAACCTGAGTGCTGCCTGGGTCTGTTGCATCATGTCACATTGCCTCACATATATCCCCAGACCTTCCCTCTCTCCCAGCGTGGCCATTCTCATTATGGTATTAGAGGCACCAGGTAAGACCACTGGCTTCCAAGTGCTCAGCTGCCACAAAAGAGAGAAAGAGCCACTGAAAGTTGGTTGCTTAGGTTGCAGGGACAAATCTTCTCCAGTATGGGCCAAGTTTCATGCCATTTTGCCACCAAAGACTGTGTAAGGTCACAAACATCTCTATTGCAATTTTCCAGCAACAGGTAGGAGGGGGTACTGGTGCTCTACCTTCCATCGGCTGCTATTAAACTGCACAGGGAATGATCAGTTCTTCAGTTCACTTCATTTACTGAATAGTTATGTATTAGGCACCATACTAGGGGTCTTATAGGCATCTCTCATTTTTACAACCATCTGTACTTAAAAAAATCACGTAGCTGAAGAACTGAGAAGCCAAACTTTCCCAAGGTCACAGAGCCTTTGTAAGTGGCAGGGCAGGAAAAGAATCTGTTAAGAAAAACAAAATTCAACCAAATAAGTTTAAAGATCTAATTGGCTTTATTAGTGATTCATGAATTGTGCAGCATCCCACCTCGTAAATAAGAGACCTGCGCTGAGTAGTACAAGGTGCAAGATTCTTATAGGAAACTGGGCCAGATAAAGTTATTAGCACCCCCTGGCCATGGGCAAGGAGACACATTGTGGTGGGTGTTGCTCTTCTATCAGTCAGGGACAGAGTTAGTTCATCCTAGCTCGAAGCCTGTGTTGGTGGCCAGAGCCACTCATGCATACAACCATATGTATATAAAAAGTTATTAGCAAAAGAAAATATTGTTTCAGGCCAGTTGACCAGTGTTGGTGGGGAGGCGTGGCAGGGGCTCTTATGCAGGTAACCTGTGTAGTGTCCACGAGGAAATTACAGTCCAATACTCCACACCTGGGCGGGGCTGAAACTGCAATTAAGTCTTGTTTTACTCTCAAGGGAGCAAGTGATCCCACCTCGGGTCTGTTTCTTTCTTTTCTTTTTTCTTTTTTGCCAGAACCCAACCCTGTCTGGCTCCCAAGTTAGCATTCTTTCCATTTAGCACCTGCAAAACACAGTCACATCTTATACTTAATTTTCATCGCCCACAATGCCCAGCAGGTGGTCAGACCATAACTCCTGCCCACCTTCTCGGGAGCTCAGAGGACACGATTTGAAACGGCCTTCATTACTGCATTCGTACAGGTTGTGTTCCACTCCCAGGATGGCGAGGTGACAGGTCAAGTCCCTCTTTCAATGTTGTTTTGGGTGGATTGGCAAAGTGGACACAGCTCGGACATCCTTCTCCCCGACTGAGCCACTACTTTCTGTTTCCTTTCCCGACACCAGGAAGAGACGCCTCCCGCTTCGCTTCGGACGGCCTGATCCTCCCGCGCCTCCACTCCCGCTCCCAAGCCACCGCCGACCCTCGCTGCCACGGACAGTGCAGCGGGCCCCCCTCGGTATCGGAGGAGGTGGCACCGCGCGGGGCGCTGCCGGTGTCGGGCACCCGAGTTCCACGTGGCGGAGCCGAGGGGTTGTGATCTCCCCGGGAGCCGGGCGGCGGGAGGGGATCGGAGCCGCTGGGAGAAGGACGGCGGTGGGGGGGCCGCACGGGGCCACCCATCGCTCGGGAACCCCCGGCGCTGTCCCCACCGGCAGGTGGGCGGGCTCGGCTCCTCCCGCCCCCGCTCCCGCCCCCTCTGTCGCCCGGGAAACGGCTCGGCCCACCGCCGGGCCCCCTGGGCACCTGGTCCCATTTAGTGCCGATGCCGGCGCCCGGGCCTACCTTGTTGGTGAGGTCCAGCTCCGGCTCGCCATTGAGCGCCTCGCCGTCCTCGCTGCAGTCCGAGTCGAAGCCGTCGTGGAGCCGGGCGGCAGCCGACGCGGCCCTGGCCGCCCCCGGGGAGCTGGGCTCGGGGGCGAACATAGAGGCCGGGACCGGCGAGTCCATCGGGGAGCGACTCCGCTCCGCCGCCATCTTTAATAACTTAGGCTCATTCGTACCCGGCCTCGCGTCCCTCCCCTGCTCATTTGCCTAATCTATGCGTAGCCCCGCCCCACACCTCATCGGAATAATTTATGCGAAACTTCTTCGGCCGCGTAGAGGGCGACACCTATCTCTAGCTAAGAAACAATCGACCAGGCTTCCCAGCCACCAATCGCTACAGCCCTTTCAAGGGCTTAATGAATAATTAATGAGGCCCAAACCCCAACAACAAATATCTGAGACGTCACGCGCCCGGATCGCAACTTGGGCGGGGCTGCACTGTGTCCACGCCACCAGCCCGGAGCCTTCCCGCCAACGGGAGCAGCGGAGAGTATGACTGACACAGTAGCCATCCAATGAGGAGAAAAATACGCACAACGTTTACCTTCGCCAATCTTCACGCCCCTCGTTTCCAGAGGCGGTGCTCAACTTCCAAATCTTACGGCAAAACAGTCGGCGCCCAGAGCCGTCGGATGATGGACAGGGGCAAGGCCCAATCCGGTCATCGGATAGGTCCCGCGCCTTGGGCCACCGCCCACGGAGATAGTAAACTGCTCAAGGCGCGTCCCACTCCACTCAGTGACTCGGGGCAGTCCCTGGAAGACCGAGGTCCGACCTGCTGGCCATCTCCGGGCAATTTTGATAGTAGGATTGGATCGATGCCTGGGATACTATAGCAGCCAGAGCGAGGCAATTAATGAAACGCTGACCTTAGGGAGAATTCTCCATTCACTGTCTTCTGCGGAGAAGACAGTAGAGGCAGCCAGCTTAACAGAAGCCAGAAGCACCTGTTAAAAATAGACCCAAAATGGAATCACTGTGGTAAGCTTCACCAAGACTCAATATGCAGTTTCATTCTCTCCCACGAGTGGAATTTTAAATCAATCAGCAATTTGATTGATTTTACAACCATCTGTACTTTAAAAAAATCACGTAGCTGAAGAACTGAGAAGCCAAACTTTCCCAAGGTCACAGAGCCTTTTTAAGTGGCAGGGCAGGAAAAGAATCTGTTAAAAAACAAAACAAAATTCAACCAAATAAATTTAAAGATCTAATTGGCTTTTTTAGTGATTCATGAATTGTGCAGCATCCCACCTTGTAAATAAGAGACCTGTGCTGAGTACTACAAAGTGCAAGATTCTTATAGGAAACTGGGCCAGATAAAGTTATTAGCATCCCCTGGCCATGGGCAAGGGGAGACATTATGGTGGGTGTTGCTCTTCTGGTGAGGTAAGCTGCCTGAAAAGATCCCTCTGCCTTCTCGCAAAGGAAGTTGACCTAGTCTGAAACAACCCATTCTTTTAACCTCGTTGACCCACCCTCCTGCCTATAAAAACCTTCCGTTTTGTACAACTACTTGGGGCTCCCTTCTATTTACTAGATGAGTTGCCAATTCATGAATCATTTAATAAAGCCAATTAGATCTTCAAATTTACCGGGGTTGAACTTCTGTTCTTTAACACACCTCACCACATTTACGAACAGTGGAGCTGAGATCTAGCTAGGGTCTGTTTAAGGTAGTTTCCTACGGATGATTTTTTCAGTATCACCACTTGTGGAAAGCCCCAATCCAAAACACCATCAACAAAGTTTTAGTATCTTGAATTCCTGTTTCAAAAATCTGAAAAGCTTAATGAAATTGGGGAGTAGGCCACTGGTCCCAGGTAGCAAGCAAGCAAGTAGCCGCTTGAGAAGGTAACATGTCCAAGATTTAGGGTTTGGAATACAGGATTTAGTGAACAAAAAGGCAGGGTTCAAAGTGGCTTGCAGTTTCCGGGATCCAACCGAAAGGAAAGTGGCAACCTCGTCTTGTTCCTGTTTTCAAGTCTTATGTGTACAAACACAGCTGGGAACCCTGGGCAAGAAGTCACCCACCTCCCAATGTCTTGGTACTAGTTCTTCGAATGTGTTTTTTCCTTTGTGATTGGCTAAATTGTTCACCACTACCCTATATATTTCTCTATGAGGTAGTTACAAGTAAAATATGATTTGTCAGGAAAGCAAAATATCAAGGCATTGTACTTTAGGATAATAATTGCTATTTAATATTTTACTAATAAACTGGCTTGTCCAGAAAGAGTTCAAGTTCAGAATGTGCTGGCACATGATGGGATACTTGAAATCATGCTCTTGCCCGGCAGGTGTGGCTCAGTGGTTGGACCAAGAGGTCACCCTTCGATTCCCAGTCAGGACACAGGCATGAGTTTCGGGCTGAGCCCCAGTAGGGGGCGGGCAGGAGGCAGCCGATCAAGATCAATGATTCTCATCATTGACGTTTCCAATCTCTCTCCCCTTCTCCCTTCCTCTTTCTGAAATCAATGGAAACTTTTTTTTTTTTAAGCATGCTCTTCTCATCATAGGACTCTGTCCTATTCGCAGAGTAGGTGTTTCTTAAATAGAGAAGTCCAAAGTCACATTTTTATGAAGGGAATTCCCTACCCATCTTTACATCCTTTTTCTAAAGACAGGTTAGATAGAGCCTGCGTTCCCATTTGGATCCACTACTTACTAGCTATGTGGCCTAGAGCAAGTGAATTAACCTGAGCGTCAGTTCTCGCCTCTAAAAAGAAAGAAAAAAAAATACCTACCTCACAGAATAGTCAGCGGAAAATAAGGTCATATTTGTGAAGCACCTAGAACAGTGCTGGCAAGCAAGCCTCGATAACTAATCTTATGTAAATATATCTGTAACCCTTAGCAGGCTTACAAATTACAAACATTTAAGGTAATCCAAAAGTTGCCTGGAGGACTCCCTACCCCCTCGTGGGCCCTCAAACGTGCTCAGCGGTAACTGTTGGGTGTAATGGTGTTGGGTGCTGTCGAAGCAGGCTGAAGAAGTGACGGAATTGTAAGCGTGATCTCTTACTGTTTTTCCAATTTCCTGAACAAAATTCCAAAAGGAGGGCAGCTCAAGTGGACAGTGAATATGTGGTGATGCCTGCCTTCCACATGCCCTCGGGGCAGCCGAGGGGGGAATCCACGCGGGACTGCGTTTACCTGCCGGCGCACAAGGCGCTGGACGGGCCTCAGGAAGCCCAGGGGAGCTCCGAGGCTGCCGCCGGGGGGACGAGACCGTGGCTGAGCGCAGTGAACCGAATAGGACACCGAGGGCCGGGGGTCGCACTCTCCCCTCCGCTCGAAGCGGGACAGCCTCGGCGCTCCCGGGAGTGCGGCGCGGTCGGGCCCTTCCCCGAGAGAATCGGCGCCCGAGCGCCGTGACGGTGCTTTGCAATCCCCCGGCGAACCGCTCGCTGGACCAACACAGAGCGGTCAGCGCGGGAGGAGCTGGGCCGCGGCGGCGGAAGCCTCCGCCCAAGGGCTCAGGCCCTAAGCCAACCCGGCCGGCGAGAGGGGCGGGTGGGGAGGCCGCCAAGTGCCGCCGCGGGCTGGGTCACCGCCCGGGACGGCGCCGACGCCCGGGGGAGGGGCGGGCCCGGGCGCGGCGGGCGCCGAGGCGGGACTCCCGCAATCGCCCCGCCCAGCGAGCCCAGGGAGGCCCGGAGCGGAGAAACCCCGCGCCGACCCGGGCTCCCAACGCTACAGGAGCCCGCCAGCCGGCGCGCGAGGCCGCGGCCCCCACCGCTGCGCCGTGACGTCAGGCTGCCCTCGACGTGACGCCGCGGCGGGGCGGGGCCGCGCGGCGCGGGAGGGCGTTTCCGGAGCACGCGCTGGGCGTGGGCGCTGACGTTGGGCTCAGGTGCGCGCGCTCCGGAGCGCGGCCCAGGTGGCGGCCCGCAGTCCAGGGGGCGGCCGGCCGCGGTGAGGGGCGGCCCGCGGCGCGGACGCGAGTGGGCGCGGGGGCCGGGGTGTGGGGGGGTGCGGGAGGGCCCCGCGGCTGGCACTCACGTGACCGGCGGGGAGGTCTGGGTGGGGGCGGCGAGACGGGTGGGCCCCCGAGGGTGAGGAGAATGGTGGGGCTCCACCCCTCGCGGGTCGGCCCGTCCCCGCGCAGGACCTTCCCTCGGGCCGGGGCCGGACCCGCCGCGCCACCTCCCGGGCCGCCTGGTCCTCCGCGGGGCCCGTGCGACCGCCGCAGCTGACCGGGTTGTCTCCCCCGCAGGGCCGCGCGAGAAGGTGAGAGTCCGCGCTTCCGAGGGAGCCGCGCCCGCCTCGGCTCGCGCCCCGCGGGGCCCACCGCACCCGCGGGCATGGAGAGGCGCCTCGGAGGCCCCGGCGCTGCCCGCCCTCCCACGCCGGCCGGCCCTCGCTAGCTCGGATTTTGCGTTTTATGCGCCACCTGGGCCTTGCCTCCCGAGTCAGTGGCGCCGTGGCCCGGAAGAAATGGAAGAGAAGGAGCGGTGTGACCGGGTCCGCCCCGTCTTCCTGCGCTGAGGCCCGGTTGGCTCGTACAAAGGAAAACACAGCAAGAAAACCGTGGGGGTTTTTCCCGAGGGGGGCGGGTGGGGAGGGCGGGGCAAGGGAGCAAGGCCTTAGGTTTTTCTATGTTGTTTTTTTTTTAAATTCTGCACTTTGACGTTAGTGGTGAAAAACACTAATTCAAAAGTTACTTTTCTATCGAGAAGAGGTGGGTTGTTTTTCCTGGTGATTCCCGTCTTTCTCCCCGTGACAAAGCATAAATCATGGGCACCGGAAACTAAGGTGGACCTCAGGAATCCGGACAGACTGCGAAGCGCGCCCTCTTCCTCGGGGGGAGGGGTGTTTTCAGCCCTCTCCGGAGCCCGCGACGGGAACCATGAGCTGCGTGCCATGGCGGGGAGACAAGGCCAAGTCCGAGTCCCCGGAGCCGCCCCAGGCCGCGCCCCCCCGGATCTACCACGAGAAGCAGCGCCGCGAGCTCTGCGCCCTGCACGCGCTCAACAACGTCTTCCAGGACAGCGGCGCCTTCAGCCGGGAGACGCTGCAGGAGATTTTCCAGAGGTAGGGCCCCGCTGCGTGGTTTCTGGGGACTTTTTGCTGTGTCTGCGGGTGGAGCGGCGTCTCGTTGCCTTCACCTTCCAACCGAAAGTATCGTCAGCGAGATCCTGTTAACGGGGATGAGTGAGGGACCCAGGGTGGGAGAGAGAGCCGCTCCTTTTCGTTGCACACTGGCGGGCCAGGCGCGGTGCTGAGAGCATCCGCAATGCCGTGGGACACACGCTGTTCTTTCCCTGTCGTAGACGAAGGCAGGGCCCAGAGAAGCGCGGTGATTTGCCCGGGTAGCAAACGCAACCAGAGGTGGAGCCAAGTTTGAGTTCAGGTGTGTGCCTGCGCCGGTGACCGCTGTGCTGTCTGATGCCTCTCGAGTCCTGCCCCTCAGGACTTAACAGTCTAGAAGGGGCCCGGATGAGTACTGCTCAGTCACCTGTCACCGGAGAGGGGATGTTGTGGGTTCTCTAGAAAGGTGTCTGAACTAGGCGGTCAGTTGGATTCCTGGTCAGGGCACATGCCTGGGTTGTGGGCTCGATCCCCAGTGGGGGGCGTGTAGGAGGCAGCCCGTGAATGATTTTCTCTCATCATTGATGTTTCTATCTCTCGCTCCCTCTTCCTCTCTGAAATCAGTAAATATCTTTTTAAAAAGGAAAGAAAGGTGTATACACAGGGCTCAGCCTTTCTTTGAGACCATGTGCTAGCCTTTGTGCTTTTCACATACTGTTTTGTGCTGCCCTCCCCACGGTGGTCTCCTGTTTCCGTTTTACTGGTGGAGAAACAGGCAGAAAGGTCAGGTAAATTGTCCAAATAGTTTCTAAGCAGCAAAGCCATGATGTGAAGCTGACTCTTGATCCCCTCCCTTTTTTACTTCATTCTAGATACCCTTTCTTACTGATGCTATCTGACAGGTTATAGAAGTTCCGCTTTTCCCTCTCTGCTGTGATGCTCTGAAATTCTTTTACCAAAGGGTTTGAGAATTTGTTCCTGCAGAAGGAATTCTCTTGAGGAAATGGGGCCCTGGCAGGTGAGATAATACATCTCAGATCATCAGATCATGTCAGCACGTCTGCAGCCCACAGCAGTGAGCCTGTCTGATTCCTCCAGCCAGAAAGTGTTAAGGCCTCCTCGGCTCTCAGTGCAGATAAAGCGGAAGAATTCTTTAAGCAGTGCATGTTGGCAGTTTCAGAAGACCCTTTTCTCCCTTCACTCAGAGATAAAATTATTGCGCCATAAGGGCCTGTATCACAACTGGAAACAATCTATTTTGGGGTGAAAGTCCATAGGTGTAGACTTTTTTTTTGTAGTATAGCAAAGGTGGAGATTTATTGAAGAACAAGTACAGACTCCCCCATGGGGAGAGGGAAAGAGTCCCACAGAGTGGACTCCCACGCAGGGAGGGGAAGGGTCCCACATAGGTGTAGACTTTTTACCCTGAAAGAACCATAGACCTCTCTTAAAGGAATGTTAATCCCAGGGTGTTGACAAAATTATAGTGAGAGTAAATTGTTTTCCTCTGCCAATAATAACCATAGTTATGCCTTAGCGGTGCAAATGTGTCATTTGCGTTATGGCCATTACCTGGCAAATAGAATTACCTCTCTTCAGGAATCGGGCCCTGGCAAGTGAGATAATTTGTCTCAGATCATCAAGTCATGAAACTGAAAAGAGTAGAAAGGAGGCCAATCCATTACACTGCTTCTTTTCACCAGCCATTCATATTTTTTTAATTCATATTTTTTAATTGGATATTTGCGAATTATTTTCTAACCTAAATCTAGGGAGAAGGAAAGGACTCACAGTGAGTAGTTGAATGTGCTTTGTACAGTACTTGGTAATATGTAGCAATCTTTGTTTGTTATCCTCACCATTAATTTTTTTTTTTTTAGAGAGTGGAAGGGAGGGAGTGAGACAGAGAATGAGAACCATCAATGTGAGAAAGATACATCGATTAGCTGCCTCCCACACGCACCCCAGTCAGGGCCAGTGGTCCAGCATGCAACTGAGGTACATGCCCTTGCCTGGAATCGAACCTGGGACCCTTCAGTCCTCTGGCAGAGGCTCTGTCCACTGAGCCAAACTGGCTAGGGCAATATGTAGCAATCTTGCAACAACCTTATTATATTGATCCAAGGATTCAGTTTAAGCAATCTGCCCCATTTCACTCACTAGTAAATTTCAACAGTCAAGATTCTGTGTGTTCATTCACAAGTTTTTCACTTCTTTAAATTTGGCCCCAATCTGAAATGACAATCACTAACACAGATGAACGCTCACTCTGTGCAAAGCACTGTTTCCTTGTGTTAAGTCATTCCTCACATTGATTTTAAAAGATAGGTTCTGT